CACTGCCTTACAGAATCAAATACTTACAAGTTTCCCCCCAGATCTGTGCTCAAACGGAATCATGTTGAACTTCTTGGCTGTTTTCCGATACATGCAGTAGTGTTTGACCCAGCTGGAACCAAATGGAGCAGGCCCTTCAACAAAAAAACAGAATTTGATATTTCCCTCATAAATAAGCAGACATGCAGAGCTCCAAACAAATTATTAAAGAGGAAAAAGCCAGCAACTAATACAGCTCAACGAAACAAACCAGCAACACTGCCAGTTCTGATAAAAGGAAAAAAACAGGGAGAAGGAAAAGGTCCATAGAGATACTTGGAGAGAAAATTCTAAGATGTCTTCAGCAACACAGAAGTGACTTAAAGATATGCTTCTTAAATAGTTTGCTAGAAAAACTAACAGTTATCTCATACCTGACAGTCTACTAATTGTCAGCTGTATTGGGGGAGGAGGGATTTCTAGGTAGAAACAGCTCACAAGGGTTTCAAATTTTCCATCCACAATATGGTTCTGGATTCAATTCCAGCCTCTCAAAATGTACTGTAGCATCACAGTGCTGAGGAGAAGCATCTAGTCTAAAAATCTACCTAGTGCTTTAAGTGCACTAGAAGCACTCTGGTAAGCAGCTGCTCTTACTGATGAGGAGGATGATGTTAAGCTTTAGGCCAGGAGAGATAGCTCGCACCTGTAATCCTAGTACTCTGAGAGGCCAGAAATGGGTGCACTGCTTAAGCCAGCGGTTCTCAACCTGTGAGTCGCAACCCACAGGAACTGTATTAAAGGGCCGTGGCATTTGGAAGGTTGAGAACCACTGGCTTAAGCCCAAGAGTTTGAGATGAGCTGAGCAAGAGTGAGACCCCATCTCTACTAAAAATGGAAAAATTAGCCAGGCATTGTGGTGGGTTCCTGTAGTCCCAGCTACTTGGGAAGCTGAGGCAAGAGGACTGCTTGAGCCTAGGAGTTGCTGTGAGTTAAGATGCCACGGCACTCCACCAAGGGCAACAGAGTGAGACTCTGTCTCAAAAAAAAAGTTAAGCTTTAGACTCAAGAGGGGTGAACTGTCCGTGTAAGCAGCAGAACATTCTCAGCACCCCTTTTTACTTCTTGCTAAGTACCACCATTGGACCTCTTAAAAGATAGTGGTCTATGTCAGGAATCTGCGTCTGGAATTTCAATCCAATCATAATAGATCAAAGTTCAGCCCTACCAGAGGTTGACAATTTCTTCCTTTTACCAAGTAAAAAAAACTTTATAAAGAGCAATTAGCCATCTAGCCTATTATCACCATAATTTATCTTTTTGTTCTTAAGATAGTGTCTCACTCTCCCACCCTGAGTAGAGTGCAGCAGCATCACAGTAGCTCACCACAACCTCAAACTACTGGGTTCAAGTGATCCTCCTGCCTCAGCCTCCCAAGCAGCTGGGACTATGCCTGGTTAACTTTTTTGATTTTTTATAAAGACAGGGTCTTGCTCTTGCTCAGACTGATCTAGAAATGTTGGCCTCAAGTGATTCTCCCACCTCAGCCTCCCAGAGTGTTAAAATTACAGCCATGAACCACCTCACCTGGCTTATTATCACCATAATTTCATATACAAACAAATAAACCTTCTACATCTAAAATAAATCAACAAAGCACAAACTCAGGAAGGAAAGAGGAATGCATTCAGCCTTACAAAAAGCCAGTTACATTACCTGGGAGGGAGGAAAGAGAGGAAAGGGGTTACTAGACCACAGTGAACTTCACTTCAGGTCATCATTCGTACACAAACCTGAACTTGGGGGGACCACCGGTGTGTCTGTTACAAATAACCAGCATTTATACTGTGGTCTATGGTTCACAAAAATATTGCAAAGACATTTCATTTAACACTAGGAAAAAAACTTTAAGGAGGGGATGGTATGTTATCTTTTTAATCTTAAGAAATCTAAGTGTTTTGTTGTTGTTTTTTTTTTTTTTTGAGACAGAGCCTCAAGCTGCCCCCCTGGGTAGAATGTCGTGGCATCACAACTCACAGCAAGCTCCAACTCCTGGGCTCAAGCAAGTCTCCTGCCTCTGCCTCCCAAGTAGCTGGGACCACAGGCGCCTGCCACAACGCCCGGCTATTTTTTGGTTGCAGCCGTCATTGTTGTTTGGCGGGCCCGGGCTGGATTCGAACCCGCCACCTTAGGTGTATGTGGCTGGCGCCTTAGCTGCTTGAGCCACAGGCGCTGAGCCAAGAAACCTAAGCTTAGAGCAAATGCCTAACAAATGGCAAAGCAAACCTCAGAGTCTAGCCCCAAATATTAAAGTCTTTCCACTAAGTAAGCCACCATCACCTCCTTATACCCCCCCAGATCCTACTCAACCAGCTCTGATCAGAGAGGCCAATGATGCTTTCACACACCTGTCCTCCCCTAGGCCACTTATATGAAGGAAGGCACCAACACAGACTCTAGTCCCAGACTGACAATTCCAGCATCTCGCTGTTGTATGATCTAGGGAAGGTTACTGACCTCTCAGTGCCTCCATTATCACTGATTAAATATGGTAATAACAGCACCGTATACTTCACAGGGTTGTTTTATAGATAACTGAGACAGGTTGTATGTAGAATTTAGTATAGCACCAGGCAAAGAGTCAATGAGAAAAGAATTCTGCTACTGCTATTCATGCTGATTTTTCCCAGACTCATTTCAGCCTCATTTCTCTAAATGCCAATAGTCAAGCAAGAGTTATGAATCTAAAAATTAAAGTTCCCTGTGTCTTTCACTTGGACTTAGAACACAAACAGTTCTAATATTCTCATGACTCTGAGATTTTAATTTAGTTCTTTCAAATTCAATTTAAAAAACTGAGACTAAGAAGATAAAGTATGATAAAAATGCAGAGTTCTGCCATGTTGTATAAATGTTCATGAGAAGTCAAGACTATGAGATTCCAGATTAAATAAGAGCAAACAGAAACAGTACATTCATCCTCCAGACTGCATGTAACATTAAGTTCAATTCAAAGCCCAGAGACCATGTAGCTATTCCCAGACTACGCTCTACTACTGCAACTGATCAGCTTGAAAAACCTGTAAACCAGCCACAATTACCAAATAAAATAAAAACTGTAAGGCTCCCTAATTATAGTTGAGGGTGGGAAGGGAGGAAAACAGTACATCCATTTACTACTGAAATATATTTCACATTCTCATCCTTTCTGCTAATTAGCAACTGGGTTCTACAGTTCAAGGAGTGAGCTTCTAAGAGCTTAGCCATTAAAATAAGACTGAATTATTTACAAGCTTGAAAGAGAGATGGGTCCTTAAATTTTCAAAATAAGAACAACCAATGCCGTAGATAATTGCTAAGACAGCCACAATAATCAAACCTCTGTGAAATAAATCAGGATATCATGTAAGAATATTTTGTATAGCCATCTGCAATTTCCTTTAATTTTACTAAGAGCCATATTTCTCAGATTGGTGTGAACAGAAATGGTGACATGTCGCTCTTGATCTTAAAATGAAGGAGAGGCAGGGCTGTGGGAGCGAAGAGGGTATGTATGTGTTTACAAATGTGCGTGTCTGTGTGTGCTGGTGAGAAGGACAGAG